CAAGATCTCCGGATTCCGCGCCCTTCAGCCGGATCAGACGGGAGGGGCCCCTCAGCCTCTATCTTTTACCGACTCAACTTTCCTCATCGATGTCGACACTAGCAGCCAGACTCTGAGCAAGAAGATCCAACGGGCTAAGCAGATGAAGTACAACCTTATCTTCATCATGGGGCCCAAGGATGCTGCTGCATCCCGCATCACGGTCGATATTACTGGTCAGCTGCAGAGCAAGTCTGATCGGAACGCAGAGAGGCTGCAGACTGCCGTAGCTCAATGTTTCGGCGAGAAGGCGCTGCAGAATCCTCGGGCTGTCCCCTTGCCAGTAGATGATGTGCATGGGCTGCTGGTGCAGCTGGAGCGGCAGTTTGTTTGATAGTGGGCCATGTATATATAGGCGTATATCCCATGTAATATATTATTATTATCTATCTGATATGATACAGATAGCTTCACTTCTAGCCCGGATGATCGACCCGCTGACTAAAGCAGCCTTAACCCGTTGCGGTCTCACCAGCATCGAGCACGTGACTTTACCGGTTTTTAAGCTTAATTCGGCGCCGACCCCGAGAGGGTCTGCCTGATTCTGGTGGCCGCCACGGGCGTTTTAGCTCCGGTGTCGGGCTGTTGATTGGCTGAGAGTGCTTCAATCCCCTCCGGAAGAGACTCATATCGTCATTCCGAATCCCACCTCGCATCCCGATGCCTCCAAGCCTACAATCTTCCTACTTTCGCACTTTGAAAGGATCGCACAATGAAGGTCTTACGCTAGAGAACAAAAATTAGGCCAGGAACGATAACCATCCGGGTCCAGCCCACAACTACGGCGAGAATGGTAGAGCGCCAATTGGTGCAGAAAGCCCTTGGAGATCAAGCCATCATCAAATCGCCCCACGGACGACCCATTCTGGAAATAAAGTGCGCCCACCACCGCACCTCAATCGCTGCGGTTTTTTGGGTTTCTTGTCACGCTGCCGCGCTTCTGACCCCACTCGCGCCGCACTCACGCCGCAATCTCTCGCCTTCTCTTTCCTCCTACTCCAACCCCCGCTCTCCCTTCGCGCCAACCGTCGATTTTTTCCCCTCTCTTCTTTACACATGGAGGGAATTGTGCCTCTTGATTTTTCGTTCATGGTTTGCCAGGAGTATCCCACTCCATGGTCGTAGAATCCAATCAGTCGGATATGGCCGAAGTGCCAGCCAAGACCAATCTTCCCCGGAAAAGCGCCTTCTCCTGCGAGGCTTGTCGCAAGCGAAAGGTGGGTTCCCCTCCCCTCTCATCCCAGCCTCGGGTGACCTCCGAGATTAAGTTCCAATCACTTCAAGACAGAGCTTGAATGGCTCTCATGGCTTAGCTATTAGGACTGCTTATTGATCATGTTCGGCTAGGTTAAATGCAATGGGGCTAGCCCATCATGTTCACGGTGTGCAGCACGCGGGGAAGTCTGCGTCTATAGTCTGTGAGTGCCCCTCAGTGCTCCCTCTTGCTGAATGCCTCTATCCCCCACGCGTTCATACTGCATTTCTTAGCAACCCCGTCGACCTTCATTGACTTGTTGTTCTCAGGGCTCCGACTTTATCATATACGAAGCAACTAGAATCGCGAGTGGCGCAGCTGGAGGATGCGCTTACCAAGCTACGCAGCCAACAATCCCTGGAGCCCGTGGGACTGAAAGGGGCTTCTCGGGCTTCCTCTGCTTCCATAGGGGAATCTAGCGCAAGTCCCGGAAGGCGTACTCGCATAAAAGAGGAGGAAGACGATGACCAGAATCTCACCAGGGACTTCGAGGGGCTGAAGGTCGAGCATGATGGACGAATATCCTTTCACGGTCCAACCAGCCTGTTCCAGCTTCCAAGTGGTGTTGTCACCGAGGCTGCTTCAACATCTCATCTGGCTATGCACCTGGAAGGTCGCAAGGAAAGGCTGATCAATAATGCATGGCGGGAACGTGCTTATGAACAGCTGGCGACCATGCCGGTAAGACTCTTTGCTTTTTTCCAGGCAGGAGATTCACTGACATCCATTCCAACCCAGGAGCCATTTCAATATCTTCTTGACTCGCACTGGTGCTGGATCCAACCGCTTTTCAATTTTGTCTACCGACCTACCTTCACCCGTCTGTTGCCGTCTCCGTGGCGTGAATAAAAAGCCCAACTGACACAATCATAGGTGATATGAAAATCAACGGCCCCTATTTCTCCGAAGCTCTTCTTAATGCCATACTTTCCCATTCGGTAAGATGGTGCAAGGCAGAACCGAAGATTGGCCCGATTCTTGATTCCTTTGAAGGCGGTGCGCAGTTCTCGCATCGTGCCGTGGCAGGTCTCTACGACTCGTTGAAAGCCGGATGCTTTGATATACCGACTATCCAGACCCTGCTCCTTCTCAGTGCTCAGGAATGTGGGCGAGGCAATCGAACCCAGGCATGGCTATACAGTGGAATGGCCTTTCGCATGTTGGATGATCTGGGAATTTCAATCGACAGCTGCAAATACTCCGACAGCGCGCACCTGAGCGACGAAGACATCGAGATCAGGAACCGTCTTTTCTGGAGCTGTTATTTCTGGGATAAGCTGATCTGTCTATACTTCGGACGAGCTCCGACCATGCAACAATCTCGCGTCAGCCCTCCGAGAACAATTCTGGATGATACGGCGGAAGTTGAGATTTGGACACCCCACGGTGTCGAGTTTCCTGATGGCACGCACTATCCACCCACTCAAGCCCATTCTACTTCATGTTTCATGAAGATGTGTGGCCTAGCCGAGATTCTCAACCAGATTCTTATCCACATTTACGACCCCATTCGGCAGGTCACAGAGGCGGAGTTTTACGAGTGCATCGAGGAACAAGCTAAGAACTTGGCCGAATGGTGGGATGATTTACCTCATTTTTTGAAGCTGCAGGCCACAGACCTCCCACCTTATTCTCCTCCAAGCCACATTGTGACACTCAAGTATGTCTCAACCTTGACTTCCTGTGGCGATTACTGACCACATGTCCCCCTCCAGCTGCCTGTACCATACCATCAACATCCTGCTGCATCGACCGGTTCTATGCTCCAAGACAAACAAGTCCTACGACAAGAGCCACCTTGTCCAATGTATGACGTCCGCAACGGCCATTTTATCACTTTACGACCTATATCGTCGCACGTTCGGAGATGTGCATGTGGTCCTCTCCCTCGCCTACAGCGTCTACACCGCAGCATCCATATATCTCTTGGAAATCCAGGCCCTAAAGTATGCCGCTCAGGGCACCCTTGATAAGCTCAAGTTCTGCATATACGCACTGGAGCGGGTGAAGGGCTCAAATCCTGGTATGCTTATGATCAATCCAGGGCGTATGAATTCCACACAAATTAACCCTTTGCTATGATAGTCATCACCACAGCTCTCAGCCTCATCTACCAGGAGCTCCAGAAGCTCCAGATTGACCTTCACATTGTCCTTCCGCCACTGTCTCAACCCCAACAACCCGAACCGTCACAGACTATTTCTCAACCACAATCCCAGCCTCAATCCCGACCGCACACCTCACACAGCTCCTCGATTCCAGCGACGCTCTCTAATACTCCAAGCCGTCTGTCTCCCGCCCACCAGCCCCAACACTCCAACCAACCTATGGCGTCCAGCCTCCTTCATCCCGCAGGCTTGACATCAGCAGCCGCAGCACCCAGTCTTCCCACTTCTACCTACCATCAACCAGTCGCCGATTTCGAGCTCTCCCAGTCAAACGTACCGCAGATGGCGAATACGCACATGTTAGGCGGGATGCCTAATGCCGTCATGACGCTTGATAACCCGGGTTCCTACGAGATCACACCCGAGGTCTTCGAGGCTTTTTCGTATGCGGAGCCGATGACGACGAACATGACCCCAGCTGTTGATTACGGATGGAACCGACAGTGATGCATATATTTAACTCTATACAGGTATCGGATATAATAGACTCAAGCGGGTAATTAGTGGAGTAATTAATCTCTGGTCGTGCTGGAGTGATAGCTCACATGAAAACATTCTGACAATTCTGTAGAATCAGATAACGTCATTTATACCATCACATTGTGAGCAATGCACTTAGAGAAATGTTCAATTATTCAATCGTTTGGGATCGTCAAAATGCTACATCTATGTCCACATTCAGCACTGTAGAATTTGAAGGCCAACATTCTCAAGTACACAAGAGTTATCCGTAAGATAGGATCAGGAGTATCATCGTTTTATCTTTCTATTGCAGATAGTTTCTGTCCTGAGTATAGAAATAGGCAACATAGAATATCGGAATGTCCAGAGATCAACAAGATAACAGACAGATGTGGCAAGCTTACTGTCGCCCAGTACACAAAGACTCCGTGAGCTGAATCGAGCTCCCAAATCGGTAAACATACAAGGTCCAATTGATACAGCGTGCCTCGACAAATCGCCGTGATCTTCACAAAGACATCGGTAGTGCCGGGGACGAGGAATATCCGGGAGTCTTGGCTCGACCATGCCAGACCAGGTATGTGGGATTCCCTTTGAGCGCTGCACCGTCAATTGTAGCTTGTGTCGCGACCTGACGCAAGTTTATCTGCTTACTGGATACGGAGGCTGGTATCCCTGGGTAAGAGCATCCTCCAAGGACACCTCCATGGACAATCCAGAATGCTCAGGGCTCAGTAAGGGTTGGTTTGGTCTGCAGGGTAGTCGTGGCTAGGACAGGGCGGATGCTTTTTGGTTCGGTGTCGGAAATGTCTCAAACAGAGCCAAAAACCTATAAACACAGCCTCCTCCCAGTGTTCCCGACAAACCCCCGCGATCCAATGATCGAGTCATTTCCAAGAAGCCAAGAGTTTTTGGTCTACTTCGATGGATTCTCTTGATTGTCTTCCTCTTGCTTGCCTAAGGGTTCACAGAATGCAAAAGTTAGCTTAAGGTCTACTTGTCTAAGATCGAGTTGCTCCCCAAATAGGCATACAAGGCGATTCCCCTCGAAGAAAACATCCTAATCAAAACTTCCCCTTACCGCTTCACTGCTGGCACAGCTCTCCTCCTATCGGAGACAGAAGAAGATGGCGGAAGTGCCGCTTCCATGGGAGCTCCCTCTTTTTGTCGCAGCAGCAGGCGGAGAAACGGCCAAAATCACAAGGCTGTTGCAGGAAGAAGGTCGGGGTGTGAACTTTCGCCATGAGGCATCTGGCCGAACCGCACTGTGCTGGGCTGCGGAGAACGATTACTGGGATGCGGTCAAGCTGCTCATCCACCGAAACGCCGACGTCAATGCCCGTGATAACCAGGGTCGAACACCCCTGGCCCAGGCAGCAGCGCATGGACACGCAGGTGTCATTAACGAATTGGTCGTGGCTGGCGCCAGTATTGAGACGCGGGATGCACTTGGTCTCACCCCACTAATGCTGGCGGCGCAAGGTGCTAGTGATCGTGCAGTTCGTGCTTTACTGGCAGCAGGAGCCGATCCAAATGTCCAGAATACCGAGGGCCTTGGTCGGACTCCTTTGTCGCGTAGCGGCAGAGCGAGGCTATGAGAATGTTTGCAAGACATTAATGGATGATGGCAATGCCGCGGTGGACCTGGCAGACACGTCGCGTCGGACTCCTCTATTGTGGGCCGCGATGCACGGCCACGCCGAAACTGTCTCCATTTTGCTACGACACAATGCCAACATAGAAGTGAAAGATGCGGTCCATAGTCGCACACCTCTTGCTTGGGCTGTGGAGAAGGGACACGAGCCTGTGGTTGAGATATCGAAGAGAAAACACGCATTCATCGGAGAAGAGAGAAAGCGTGACGAGGCAGCTTTGCTCCGTGAGCCAAGCGCTGCCTCTGCTAACAGGCCTGAGCCGCTGCAAACTTGGTCCCAAACCAGTGGACTCTCAGTTCCCGAGACGAGTGACCATAAAAATCGGGGTCACTTCCTAATTTGGGCGATCGAGAGCTCTCGTGAAGACGATTTGAAATCTCTGGTACAACAGGGGGCTAGGGGGCTAGCTTGAACGAGCAAGATGAAAATGGGATGACAACACTCGCTGTCGCTGTGTACAAGGGGCAGACAGACACAGTGAAACTCCTACTGGAAAAGAACGCCAACCCAGACCCTTCAGATGCCTTTGGTCGAAACGCCTCTGTCGTGGGCTGCAGAAGAGGGACATTATGACATTGCAAAACTTCTCGTTTAGAGAAAGGTCCGCATCGATTTTGGCGATGAGGCTAAAATGACACCTCTCTCATACGCAGCTTCTCGGGGACATGAATCCATCGTGTCTTTGCTTTTAGACGCCGGCGCAAATCCAGATGTTAAGGACGAAAATGGCCGGGCGCCTATGTCAGCAGCAGCAGCAGCAGCAGCAGCAGCAGCGAGCTATAATTCCATTGTGGCGCTGCTGTTAGAGTAGGGCGCCTCGCCAAATGAAGGCGGCGACGAATCACCCTTTATTTGCCGTAGGCGACGACAATCCAGAATTAGCTGAACTGCTGCTCGCAAAAGGCGCGAATCCCTATTCGGATACGTATAGTATCACCGAGTATCCCCCTTTAGTTCTTGCGGCGGATCTGGGAAATGAAGCGATGCTCAAGCTGTTCTTGGAAGGCAATCTTGGCTTCGCCGAAGTCAGGAAGGACCATGTCTGGAGAACTTCGATTGAGGCTTCTCGAGAAGGCCATGTCGGAGTGGTACGCGCATTGCTTGATGAAAATCCTTTCGATGGCATGGAAGGAGATGACATGGACACAGATCTGCTTTTTATGCCGAATGCGAGGAACATGAGGAAATCACCCAGCTTTTGCAGCCTTACTATGAGAATCATAAGCCCGCGGTCGAAAGAGATGATGGAGCACAAGTCGCCTTTTGTGTGGCTATACTTGGGTACGGCAATTATATATAAGTGACAGAACATCTGGCTTGCGTAGCTATAAAATGCATCTCTGCACTAGATAATTGTGTCATAACTGGTATCGGTGGTATGTAGTGTAAATTGTTACTTCGTAGACAAAAGATGAGAGGGAAGCTTTTGGGAAGCAAATACTCTCACAGCACATGAGAATTGAGTTGCTATATTGGTTGGCGAAGGGCATGTTCCTTTCATTTGACTTAAGGCTGGCAATGTCGATCCTTAGAGTCAGCATGTTTACGGTCAAAATGACCCGGGAGAGCAGTATAAGAGCTAGTATCAGCCGAAGAGGATGAAGCGATTGGGACATCTTTCGGTTTGGCACGCCAGCGTAAGTACCACGGATAGTCAAAGAGGTCCCCCATGCGCTCCATGGGGACGCCTTTAGTCTCCGGCATTAATACACCAAGGATGATGAGCCCCGAAAAGCAAATGATGGACCAAAAGAGGTAAGCACCCCAGATATGCAAGGAAACAAACATATTCGGCGTGACCCGCACGACGGCAAACTGAAAGAACCAATGCAGTGTCATGCTCAGAGCGTAACAGACATTACGTATGCGGGTGGGAAAGATTTCCGCTCCGTAGAGATAGGGAACAGTGCAAAGGCCGATGGACCAGCCAATGGCATAGACAAAAACGGAGGCGATAGCAGCATTGGAGGCCGACTGATTGTGGCTCGAACCGGGTCGGAGACCCATGTAGATGCCCATGTATATGTGGGCAACCAGTTGGAGGCTTAACCCAGCCAAGGTGCAGCGGCGCCGACCGAGGTAATCAATCAAGCCCCAGGTAAAAGCCATTGTAAAGACAAGTTTGATGATTCCATAAATGCCAGAAGATATCAAAGAATTAGCGTTCCCAGTGACGCCAGCATACTGGAAAATAGTGGCAATATAGTAGGTGATTCCGTTACCTCCGGTCCATTGGGCTATTGTTTGAATGATCATTAGAAGCCAAAATCGCTGGCGATAGTTGGGATTGATCTGAGATTCTTTGAATGCTTGCCAGTGTGTGACCGACTTCAGATCTGCTGCCTTTTCTTGCACTTGAGCATTGATGGCATTAAATTCATCTTCCACACCAGGATCGGTGATATGCTTTCCACGAAGACGAGCCAAGACGGTACGTCCTTCTTGATAGCGTTGCTTTGAGATTAGGTAGCGGGGTGTTTCCGGAACCATGAAGGAGGCGAAGAAGGCGATTCCAACAGGTATCAGCGGGATAGATTGCACTAGTTGGTATTGCGTGCGGGTGGCAGCCATGTGCAGTGTAGCGCCATAATTGATGAAGAAGCCTGTCGAAGTCCCAGGGTTAGACCACAATTGGCACAAAGGGAGGTAGAGAAGTTTATCCTACCCATGGCTAGAATAAGTAATAAAATGACCATGAAAGTACTCACGACCAAGCCTCGGGTCTTCGCAGGAGCTAAGCACAATTAGTTTTGTCCATATTTGACATCTCAAGCGACCAAGCGATCACCCACCAATTTCCGAAAGGTACAACGGAGCGACCACTGTCAACGCGCCCGCTCCGAGACCACCCCATATTCTGGCGAGAAGCAACAGTCCATAAATCCCCGATGAAAAGATCTGAATGAACAGGCCTGATGCCCAGACCAGACAAGCCAAACGCCAGGCGGCCAATCGGCCGAGGCGGTCGTTCAAATCCAGAGAGAACAAGGCGCCAAAGGCTGCTCCTAGCACATTGAAAGACGTAATATTGGCTTTACGGTTGGCCAAACCAGCAGCATCATGTTCCCAGTGAGACCGTACCAGATTGTAGTCGAATTGAAATGACTCGAGCTTGGTGCTGGCACTGAAGCCGCCCTCATCGTAGCCTGCAGCGCAGAGCCCAAGTGGTTAGTCGATGACGAGTTCAAACGGAGAGATAGCAGTTAGGGAATGATACCTTTGGGAATGCTTCCACATGCGATGATGAGAATGACCAAGGCGTAGTAAGGATTAGTAGTCCACCGCGACCAGTCGAGGGCCGCCCATCCCATTATGGCGCCAGGCGACGTCAACGCGTGGAGACGGGCTACCAGCCCAGGACAATTAAGGATATAGTAATGATGAAAACAAGGTCATAAGGCCGATCAAAGAGAATCCGGGGAAAGCTCCAGCCGCTGAGAGTGGAACACTTGGCCAGGGCCACGCTATGAATGACCACAATTTAGGCGACGAGATTAGAGTGGACGAGGAGCCGAGATGAGGTCGAGAGGGGGGGAAGAAATTATCCACTCCGCGGGGGGGCGTGACTTTCTGCCTCTCGGTCAACTTCCGCCTTCCTTCTTTTCTCTCCAATGCTTCTTGTACCACTTTCTCTGCCTCTCATCTGCACCCTGGTGTGACTTGTCTGCGCTCAGTGCATCATGATTTGACCAAAAAGTCCTTCTAGTTCCGTTTATTTCGTGACTTACTACGAATCATCGGAGGCATCAGAACTCCCAAATGTTTCAGAGTAATAACCGGGAAAATGCCACCCGGCGGCTCGCACCGCCAGCACCCACCGGCAGGTGCCACTTCTTCCAGGAACTGTTCGCGAACAACTTAGTCCAACAGCAAACTCAATGATCCCAGGTCTGTCACGGACCTCCTTCGGATACACGGAATGCAATCATTGGCCTTTTTTAGCATACCAGATCCCTCTTTCCATCTAGCTCGCGGTCAAAGTCCGACCTCTTTACCCCTCTTGCGGTTTCCACAATCACTGAAGAATGATACTCAGTAACACATATTGTGATCAGCCCTGTCCTTGTGGGTCGCGAACTCCGTCTATATATCTCGCTTGGGTTCCCTTGCTCTTGGCCTGTAACTATTGCCTAGGCCGAGCTAGGCCCGTCCCCAGTATTTTATAAAACCATCGGCAAGCCGATGCGGAGTCTACCGTGATCCCTTGCGTATCCACAATTATTGTCGCCGAACGGGGGATTTCCTTCCCGGCTCGCGGTTTCAGTGGTTTTCATGTCAATCATGTCTCGACACGCGTGCTTTATAAAGGGAGTAGTGGGTAGGCTGCAAGACATGACTTTCGTGAGTTCATTCTGTTCCGAGTTGAACCTCATGTCCTGTTGACAGCTTTCCCTCATTCTTCGCATCACGTATCATGACTTTGCCCTCTATGACCAAAGTACTCACAGACTTCAAGCCCAGGGCTGGTCTCTTCGGCAACCCCCGAGTTCTACTCAACACTACATCGCTCAAACAAGACAAGAGCAGCTATCACCATAGAGATATACGCAGTGTCACTACACGGGCCTACCCAATCAAGCATCGCATACCTACAGGCACATGGGATGCGCACATGCACGTCGTTGACCCGCAGCGCTTCCCCGTCTCCCCCAACGCGGTGTACAAGCCTTCGAAGCATACGATCGAAGAGGCCATGGCATTCGAATCTTCTTTGGGGATAGGAAAGATCATTCTAGTCCAGCCGTCAATATACGGAACGGACAATTCCTGTCTTCTGGAGGCACTCAGACGCGTGGGGCCGTCTCGTGGGCGTGCGGTTGTGGTGATTGATCCAGCAACAATTGATTCTCAGACACTCGCAGACTGGCATTCAATGGGCGCACGGGGCGTGCGGGTGAACCTAAAATCAGTCAACACGGTGCTGGATGAACGTGACTTGACAGAAATGCTATTGCAACATGCGCAGGTCATCCGGTCCCTCGGATGGGTTATCCAAGTCTACGTCTCGCTGGACATGGTTCCGATGCTGGAGAAGATTGTCCCCCAGCTGGGCGTTAAGCTGTGCATTGATCATTTTGGAAGCCCCGACCTGGCAAGAGCTGACAGCTCTCTGCAAGGTGCATCGCCATTCGATCCATACAGCCTGGCGGGGTTTTCGTCTTTGATATCACTCCTTCAGGCGGGAGAGACATACGTCAAAATCTCCGCCCCGTACCGTCTCAGCAAGGACGGACAATACCGCGATTTGGAGGTAATGGCGCGAGAATTCCTGCGCGTGGCCCCTGAGCGAGTTCTCTATGCAACCGACTGGCCCCATACGCGCTTTGCTGGGATGGACATTGAGCCATTTACAGAAACGTGTCTGCGCCTGTGCGAAAATGTGCCTGGACTGGCAGATCGAGTATTTCGGCGGAATGCCGAAGAGATGATGGGGGAAGACGCATGATACGCTGATACAACCCGACCTTACGATTCATGAGTAGATTAGCATAATACCACACGCCATTGATCACATGCAATAATGCTCACCGGTAACATTGACGGCAGACTCCGAAACAATCAGATCAAGAATTACCATGTATGGATTGTCATCTCGGCCAGGTTCCGGGCCGCGGTGTGACCGGTTGAGAGAATAACCTTTTTTTCCCGTCGGGAACAAGGAGGCAGTTTGAATTGTTCCCCGGGTAATCCGCGGCTATCCGAACGGGCTTAACGCCAATCCCCGTTGCCGTAGGGGCGCCTTCCAGCGACACTATGGCAGTGCTCCTTAGCTTCGGGGAACCTCCGATCTGCGCTCCTCAACTATGGTTGACTTTTGTTTCGAACGCCGCCAGATGGATCATACTTCCGTGTATTTTGACCCTCCGAAAGCCTGTGGTCAA